GATCAATACTAACATTTTAAATAAAATAAATATACTTATATAATTATAAAGTAGAAAATATCAATCAAATTATATATATATAAATAAAAACAATAGTATAATATAATTATGTTTAAAGTACCATTTTGATCTCTCAACTTTTCACTTTGGCACCAAATTTGTTCCTCAACTTTAAAAAATATCAAAATTATCCTTAAGCTTTTATTTTAAGTACCAAAATGGTCCTTCCATCAGTTAAGTGACAGGTTGTACGTTAAAATGCACTACATTTTTTAAATCTTAATGACATGTAAATCCATGAAATAAAATTTCATCAACATGGCATTTTTTTTACACATCAAATTATCAAACCGAAAATGAAAATTTTGTGAGACCCACATGAAAATTTGTTTTCTCCTTTCTCAGTTTTAGTCGAGTTCACAAAAATGGCAGTGTTCTTCGTTTCTCTTTTCATTTTCTTTTTATATTCAAAACCCTAAACAGGTTACTTCTGCAAAATCAAATCAAGCTTTATATCACCATGGAATCTGTTGATTGAATATGTTGATTTGGTATTTTTTATTATTAATTTACAATTTTCCAACCTAAAAAAAAAAAAGAAAAAGAACTTCATCTTCTTCTTATCATCCGATACAGAGAAGCAAGGTTGCCATCGCCGACTCAAACCAGACGCAGGAGTATCTCAACCTTTAAACCTTATTGTTCCCAAACTCCAAACTCCCACTATGTCGCCAGCGCCCGCCATCCAAGTCGCCAAGCTTGAGACCGAGAAGGTTGTTTCCGTCGAGAAGCCCCAGGCTGTTTCCCTCCGCATCCTTCTTTCTTCTTCTTATTCTTTCTCTCTCTCTCTTCTCCCTTCTTCTTCCTCTCTCAAACCCAGATCTGGGTTTTCATCATATAAATTTGGGTTTTGCTCAAATTCTTTTCTATGCTTTTCTCCTTCCTCCAACTGTAATCAAAGAAATCAAAGAATTTAGCAAGAAAAGAAGCAAAAAAGTAGTCAAGAAGCCAGTTGTCTTCTCCAGCGCTGAATCCTCTATGGAGATGTTATGCCGGCAAACTGCTATCCAAGCAAACTGTGAATATTCAAAACTAGAAATTAAAAAAAATCACAAAAAAAAAACATAGTTAAATGGCCTTTTCGATGATCTGTTTACAATAGATTGACTCTGATTGGTTGAGATCCCTATGGATGATACATGGCCTCATGGTTGCTCTTCTTCTTTCCAAAAGCCTCTATTCGAGAAAACAACATCATTGGAAAGGACTTCTGATGATGAAGAAGAAGACACGAGCTTTGGTACAAGATTCGGAGTTTGCAGAGAAGAATTTGAGGACTTCCTCCCTGATTCATGCGTTGTAGATGGATCTAGGTTTGATAGAGGAAGACCCAGATCTGGGTTTGTAGAAGGGAAAAGGAAAGGACTTCTAGTGATGAAGAAGAAGGCATGAGCTTTAGGTCTTTCTCTGGGTTTTCTCGAACAGCCATTCGACAAAATAGCATCATCGGAAGGACTTCCGGCGATGAAAAAGAAGGCAGGAGCTCTAGGTCTTTCTCTGGATTTTCTCAAACAGCAATTCGACAAAATAGCATCATCGGAAAGGATTTTCGGTGGTGAAGAAGAAGGCACGAGCTTTGGTACAAGATTCGGAGTTTGTAAAGTATAATCTAAGGACTTTCTCCCTGATTCAAGCATTGCAAACAGATCTAGGTTTGAGAGAGGAAGACCCAGATCTAGGTTTGTAGAAGAAAGGGAAAGGAAAGGTAAAGGAGAGATAAAGTGAAAGAGGAAGAAGAGATTTTTTTTCTGACGTGGATGAAAAAAAAAACACTATTATTGTTAAATTAAATAAAAATACCAACTCATAAAAAAAGAATGGTTAACTATGTTTTTTTTTTTCCATGTCATTGATTAAGAAAAAAAAAAGAATTGATTTACTGGCAAGTTAATGTGCCACATGTGCATTTAACTAATGGAAAGACTATTTTGGTACTTAAAATAAAAATTTAAAGATAATTTTGATACTTTTTAAAGTTGAGGGATAATTTTGGTGCCAAAGTGAAAAATTGAGGGACCAAAATGGTACTTTAAACTATAATTATAACATTTAATAAATGAAAATTAATATATTAAATAAAATGAATATAATGATGACAATACAAGGTATGCAAAATAAAATAAACATAATGATAATGACATAAACTAATAAATAGCATAATAATTGAAATAATTAATAAAGAATAAAACTTATAAATAAATATAAAACATTCAAAAAAAAAAAGAATTCATATTCAGACCACTATTGATCTGAATAACTTTTCCAGATCGGTAGTGGTCCTAAAATAATTAATAAACAAATGAGACAATACAAGTAAAACAATTATATTATTTAATTAGTATGTAATTAAAGTTTTTAATAGATCAACATTTATATTTTAAATAAAATAAATATAATTATTT